TCGGTTTTTACGAAAAATGCACGACGGGAGGTATGAAAACGTAAAAAATCTGCGTAAAATGCAAAACTGGAAATTTAAGCATTCCTATAGTAGTATGAAGTGGGTCTAATTATGCAGAAAGTTGCTATTATTGCATTAATTCTGGATGTTTGTATCAGGGGAAGCAAGTCATAGGGAGAATTGAGAATGTGATTGGTGTCATAGAAGGAGAAGAGGAGCCTGACCGGTACGTATGAAATCTTTTTGCAACTAGCAAGTTCAGATTTTAAGCATCAGTAGCAATCATAAGGATTTGAGTATGTGCATTTAAAAAGAGAATTAGGACATGTTTGAGAAGAAATTGACACTGGCTAGTACTGATTGTAATGGACTTTGATCGATGAAAGAAACCAAATTGTGGATGAGTAGTCACTCTGGTGCTAAATTTATGTAGATTTGTCATTTTGGGCAATCACCGGGATGCGTGGACATTTGGAGCCGTTGATCCAAATAGTGGAACTGCAGCACTGCTTGAGGTGTTGTGGATTTGAATGATGTATCCTCATCCAGTTCCTTCTGTACGAGGAAAATTTAATACAAGCTGCTTTCAATGTGTAATGTAGATTGCCCAAAGATTAGGGAAGCTGCAGAAAAGAGGGTGGAAGCCTCGGCGTACAATTGTCTTGTGTAATTGGGATGCTGAGGAGTATGGCCTGGTCTCTATCCCTCTCTCTCTCTCTCTCTCTCTCTCTCTCTCTCTCTCTCTCTCTCTCTCTCTCTCTCTCTCTCTCTCTCTCTATGTGTGCGTGTAATATCTATCTATCTCTGTTTCTCTCTGAACTTTTAAACTATACCCTATCTACAGATAGGATCAACTGAATGGGTAGAAGAAAACAGGCAAATGCTAGCTTCAAAGGCTATTGCTTACTTGAATGTTGACAGTGCAGTGTACGGCCCGGGATTCTGGGCCGCTTCAACTCCACAGCTTGATGAACTGCTTAAACAAGCTACTCAACAGGTATTGCAAACTAGTATGGATATACTAACAGTACTTGAATACGGTGCAGCATTAGAAAGCAACAAAGATCCTGAATACAATGGTCCTTGGAGCCATAATATGATTAGGAATTTCAAGTTATTTCTTGTTTCTGCCATAGTTTCTAGCTCATGTCAATCATATTCAAAAATTTTATTGAAGGTTAAAGACCCAGATAACTCATCACAAACCATCTACCAATCATGGGTTGGTTCGAGCAGCTCGCCTATGGTAAGCAATTGCTTCATAGATCCTCTGTTCTAGAATTCAAGGACAAGTCTGCCATTTTTTATCGAATGGGTTTCTGAAAACTTTAGTGAAACTACTAGTGCTCAAACAAATCAGTATTTTGCATACAAAGATTGGCAGGTTGGGAAGCGGAGAATCAGATTTTGCAGCTTTTGTTCATCATATTGGAATTCCAGCAGCTGACATGGCTTTCGGTAAAGGTAACACATTTGACGCGACTTAAACTCTCACAACATTGTTGCCACTGAAAAATAGGAAGCTTTACGCTTTGAGATAATAACAAATGATTTTGGAATCACAGGATACCCGGTATACCATTCAATGTATGATGACTTTATATGGATGCAAAAGTTCGGTGATCCATTGTTTCAAAGGCATGTTGCAGGTCAGCCATAAGTTTTCTCTCTTAACAATTCTGGTCAGCATCCACTTGAAAGTTTATTCAAACACCTCAATAGATTTCATTGGTCTCGAACGCAGTGGCAAGTTTATGGGGTTTGGTAGCTCTTTGGCTAGCTGATGCAGAAGTCTTGCCTTTTAATTATCTCTCCTATGCACTGGAGCTACAGGTACAACAACGTTATCTTCTGTTCACCACTTCATGAGCTCTTGAAATAATCAAATGTATCGTTTGCATGCAACCCTTTACAATTAAAAGGATTTTGCACAGGCATTTAGTGACAAATATATTTGCAATCAACCTGAATAATATTGAAACCCTGAATGACAGAGTTACGTGAAGGACCTGGAAGATGATCTTTCAGGTAAGAACGTAAACCTAACTCCTCTGTTCAAGTCCATTGAGGAGCTCGAGAAAGCAGCCACAAATATAAACAGCCAGAGAGAGGTATCATTTGTGTTTCTTAGAAACAATAAACTACACATCCATTTCTCGTGTGTCTGAAATTCTGAAGCATATAATTCTACAGGAAATAGAACAATGCAAAGCTAATCTATATATCGGAAAGAAAGATCACTTTAAGGTGAGAGAGCTGAATGACAGACTTATGATGGCGGAGCGCGCATTTACAGATCAAGACGGACTCTTAGGAAGGTCATGGTTTAAGCATTTGGTATGTTTGCGAATTTGGGTACCTAGTTTCCTAGACAAAAAATAAACAAGTTTTCCCGGCTGGTGATCTTGGATTGTGATTAGTTCATTGTTTTTCCAGATTTATGGGCCCTCAGAGCATGATGATTATGGATCTGTATCCTTCCCTGGCATAGGTGAAGCCATTGAAAAGGCAAAGAGTTTGAAGACAGCAGAGTCATGGAAAATTGTACAACATGAAGTTTATAGAGTCTCTAGAGCTGTTAAACATGCATCACAAATCATCAACGGCGAATTAACATGACAACTTGATGACTGGAAATACCATGAAGATCTATCTCGAATGCTAGTTTGTGGACTGCAGTAAACAGGCATCAAAATGTATTTCCAGAGCCGATTCTTGTCAGACCAAGAACCAAACAGCCCAAGAGGTGGAGATTTGTGAAGAAAAGTTCGACCAGCGTGGTAAAAGAAGTACAATTACAACAAGCATATCGGTTTGATTTGGCCTTTGTAACCTCTTCCGCATGTCTTTGATTTCATATCCCACGTTATCCTTGCGCTAGTTATGTAATTTTTGTGCTTCTGTTATTTTCTGCAACAAAGGATGCTCCTTTCTGTATACATAATCTGTGAGTTATTCACATCTTATAATCTTTTGCTTTTCGCATCCCATTCCCCCGAATTCAAAGATATTGCTTTTGTTGCAGAGGAAGGCTTTGGACAACTTTTCGAACTCGTTCCACCTCGAATCTCGTGCCACGCTTCTTAATTGTTTCTCGCATAGGCTTTGGACAAGGCTTCTGGATGCGTTACCGGCAGTCTCAAGCCATTCAGATCCTCCCCTCTCCTTTCAAGAGAAACTTATGACGGAGGAAGGGACAAATTGCAGCGACGCATGGCTAAATCTCACTGAATCGTGACAGATAAACATCATCAGATGATGCACAAACAAAGAGAAGACAATCAAACCTCATTACTTAATATAAAAACTTGTACACAATGTAAGGATCATCGCCCCATTCGGCTTTTATCTATTTACATCTCATTTCCTCAACTGAAAAACTACATCAACATCAAAGATCATAATCAATATCATCAATGATGATGATCAGACGGTTGTGATCTCTTCTGGGTCTTCAAAGTTGGGATCTTTCGCATCGAAAACCTCCTTCTGCAACCCCATCTCGGCCGGAGAGTAGGCAACATCTCCAGCCCAAGTGAACTTACCTCCACGCCCTCCCTTCTTTGGTGATCCATTCATTCCAGTCCCCGACTTTCTGTCCTTCCTCACCTCCCCAGGTTTCCCATTCCCTTTCTGCCCCTGTTTTCCATTCCCGTTCCCACTGTACTTCTTCATCTCTCTCCCAACTCAACCTTTTGGACTCCGATCTCTCTGACTGTAAATCCGTGAAGATGTAAGAAGACTTGCCCTCTATTTATATAGGAGGAAAGGAAAGGTGGAGGTTTTTTATTGGTTTGAGGCCATCGGATAAGAACAACCAAATTTTTTATCTTTTATTACAACACAAAAATTAAGGACAACAACGTAATTTTACAAGATAAAATTTTTTTTTTTTTTTTAAACCTCACCTATATAATTTTAGAGAGTTTTAACGAAAAGTCCACGGTACTGTTCACTTTAATGAAAAACCACATTTTTACACTAAAAAATCAAACCTGATACTATTCATTTTACCCTTTATTTTGTCCTTATCATTAAAGCTCAAAATTTTCAAACCCTTTTCATTAGTTTTCCTATAATTTTATCATCTTTAATTAAAAAAAAAAAAAAACAATCTCTCCCCATCTCTCCTCGCTCCACGTTCTCTCTCATATATTTAATGTTTGTTTGGAAATTGCTTCTTTAAAAACACTTCTAATCATTAGTACTTTCAATAAAAAAAAACTTCTGTTTGATGTGCATTAAAACTTGAGTAATGCTAGGTACACTAACTCTTTAAATTAACTTTGCAAATCATATAATATGTCATGAGTATGAAATAAACACATTAATCAATTTTAAAGTAATAATCTAATCATTAGCCACCATGTCAAATAATTTACGAAATTTGGTCTAAACAGTTGATCTCACTATCATTACATTTAAAATTTATAACAAAAATGAAAGTGTCACTGGTAAAACACTTAGGTTTGTTTGTAAATGCATTCAAAATAACTGAAAGCTCTTTTAGTGAAAATATTTTTGAAACCAATTCTTAATAAAAGTTCAATTGGATCCTGGAACAACTTAAGTGCTTCTTGTAAAAGCGCTTTCAACTATTTTAAAAGCACTTTCAGACGCACTCTTAAAAATTTTCTTAAAGAATCACACAATAAAGTTGAATCTAGAAACATTTTTAGCTTTTTTTGTCAAACGTGGTTGGCCGCTTGTGATTAAAACGCTTACAGTTATTTTAAAATACAAACATTGAACTTGGGCTACAAGCATACAAAAACACATGTGAACTTGGGCTTTTTCTAAGATTGCCGTGTACTGCAAGTCCAAAATTTCAAAGTCCACACTCCAGTCCAAACATCTTTACTTGTGAAAGCCCTTCAACGTGTGGGACCCCTATCCACTATCGGCTGACATGGCATCGTCCCATTGGCCAATCAGAAGAACTTTTCCTCCAACCTGTAAAAATTGGGCAACCAAAAAGACGAATATATAAATAGAGAAAAATTTCGAGGGAAAACAGAAATAAAAAGAAAAGAGAGTAACATGCTAGGTTCCCACTTAAATCTGATAGCGCCGATTTCTCCTTCCCTCTGTCGACTCTCTTCCCTCCACCCCTCTCCTTCCCTCCCCGCCGCCGGTGAGCCATATTCTCTCTCTCTCTCTCTCTCTCTCTCCTCTATTTCTCTCTCTGTCTCTCTCTATTTCTCTCTCTAGTTATATATATATATATATATATATATGTGTGTATGTATGTATGTAAAGGTTGATTCTTTCAGGAAATATTTGTAAAGATTGATGCTTTTTACTGCTCACACTCGATATTGAAATGGGTTGTTTCTGTAGGTTGCTTTTATGTATTCTACTCTTTCAGAAGTTCATGAATGCAACCCAGTTTTATGCTTATATTTTTTTTTGTAATTATCTCAAGATTGTGCTTTTAGTTTTTCGATTAACTCAACTTTTATTTATTTTTTTGGGTTTTTATTAATTTGATTTGAGAAGTTCGAAATTCATAATTTTTGTTGTAATTTAATGTAGTAATTGTGAAACTAGACAGACTTGTTGAAGGCGGCATCTAGGAAGCTTATTTTTGCAGCTAAGTCCCACTCAGTATCCACAATGGCGACTGTAAGTTATTCCTTTTACACATAACTTTTACTTTTTACCAACTTTGTTTAGCCTTTTTTGTGTGTGTGTGTTTGACTGTGAGAAAATTCCTGCAATGTGTAGCTTGTGGTGCCGCACATTATGTTTTGAGCAGTAATCGATTTTCTGAACAATTGAGTTGTATGCTTGTATCTGATTTGTGGCTGTTGTTTGGCACAGGAAGAAGAGAATGTGGGAAATACAAAGCGACAGTTAGCGAAACTGTTTGAAGTCTCGCTCAGAAGAATAGTCCCCGATGAGCCAGATGTCGAGCCAGTGATTGCTGCTTGCACTGGGAAGTTTGGCGATTATCAATGGTACATTATAGTCTTTTATTCTAAATTGTACATATTGGATTTTTCTTGCAACTGTAAAAGAATGTATCTTTTTTTTTGTTGCTGTCACTTAAAATGTATTTCAATCTGTAATTCATGGCTTGTGCGGACTTCTTTCTGAACTCGCAAGTCTTTCTTTGGTGCAGTAACAATGCCATGGGTCTATGGTCTAAAGTAAAAGGAAAAGGCAGTGAGTTTAGGGGTCCGCCATCTGTGGGACAGGTACTAACGTTCACCTTTACTGTACTTCTCTACATTGAACTTGTTTATCCATATTTTCTATAATTGTGGCTTAGATGGTGGTTTCTATTTAGGCGTTGAGTTGAAAGCATTGAATAATGACTGGTGTTTCATTTTATAGGCAATCATGAAAAATCTTCCTGATTCGGAGATCATAGAATCGTGTTCTGTAGCAGGACCTGGATTTGTGAATGTTGTCTTGTCAAAGAAATGGTTGGCTAAGGTATTGTTTGAACTTTTATGCGACTGAAAATTATACTAATAACTTCTTTATTCAATTGTTGAATTTTTTCGTGTGGACATAAAAGATGCTTTATTAGTGTTTCTAGCGAAATAGTAAGTTCTTGGGTAAAAATAAGAAGAAAAAAAAACACAAAAACAAAGTTGATAGAAAGAATAAAGACAGATTAAAAATCTAGTAGTCTTCATCCATCAAAATATTTCTTCTCGCATCTTCGAACTCCTTTGCAAACCAAAGTTGGCAACAAAGTCATAACACTGTCTCACCCAGGTTTTAAAGATTTTCCACCTTTTAATTGCGTGAGCAGTAAAAAATTAGCTCATAAAATAAATTAATGAGTTTTAACCAATAATAACTAGAAATTCAAGCCTTACCCATAGCGTCGAAGCATTTCTTGTACATGCTAGAGTGTTTGACCAAGAACTCACGGACGTTCCCCATCCAAAATCAAAGGTTATTTTCAAAGCCAAAGAACCAAACACTAGGAAGTTCAGAATGACAAACACGATGTAGTATAGATACTTGGGTAATGTCCCATACTGAGACACCAGTACATGGCTTTGCCCACGAACAATGTCAAACCAAGCAAGAGTGGATACTCCATCTGAACCGCAAATACGAGCAACATGAAGAACATAGACTCTACTCCTATTGACTTCAGCACGAAGGACACGAGTTCTATCATGCAGGAGTCATGTGACGAATTGATCTTCCTACCAAAATGTTTTGGATCAATTGTCATAGCGAAAAAGAATGCAATCAAAGCTAAAAGGAAACTGGGATCGATATCCATAGCTTAGAACTCTCACTTAGACATTGTTCAACACCAAAAAATTTCTCAACAATTCCTTCAAACAAACTTCGGAACAACACTACACTTCGGCCTTATGAAATGTAGAAAAACCCAGAAAGATAAACAAATCTTCAAATGTTCCTTACAACTTCGGCTTCGACTTTTGAAGTGCAGAAAATCAACAAATCTTTTGGGTTTCGCATATATTTTCTTGATGTATCAAAGCTTGAAGATTTGTTGATTTTCTGCACTTCAAAGGCCGAAGCCGAAGTTGCAAGGAACATTTGAAGATTTGTTGATCTTTCTGGGTTTTTCTACATTTCATAAGGCTGAAGTGTAGTGTTGTTCCGAAGTTTGTTTGAAGGAATTGTTGAGAAATTTCTTGGCGTTTAACAATGTTTGAGTGAGAGTTCTAAGCTAAGGATATCAATCCCGGTTTCCTTTTGGCTTTGATTGCATTCTTTTTCGCTATGACAATTGATCCAAAACATTTTGGTAGGAAGATCAATTCATCACATGACTTCTATGTTATTGAACTTGTGTCCTTCGTGCTAAAGTCAATAGGAGTCGAATCTATGTTCTTCATGTTGCTCGTATTTGCGGTTCAGATGGAGTATCCACTCCTGCTCGGTTTGACATTGATCGTGGGCAAAGCCATGTACTAGGTGTCTCAGTATGAGACATTACCCAAGTATCTATACTACATTGTGTTTGTCATTCTGAACTTCCTAGTGTTTGGTTCTTTGGCTTTGAAAATAACCTTTGATTTTGGATGGGGAACGTCAGTGAGTTCTTGGTCAAACACTTTGGCATGTACAAGAAATGCTTCGACGCTATGGGTTTCTAGTTATTATTGGTTAAAACTCTTTATTTTATGTGCTAATTTTTTCTTGCTCACGCAGTTAAAAGGTGGAAAATCTTTAAAACCTGAGTGAGACAATGTTATGACTTTGTTTTGCAAAGGAGTTCAAAGATGCGAGAAGAAATATTTTGATGGATGAAGACTACTAGATTTTTATTCTTTCTATCTAACTTTGTTTTTGTGTTTTTTTTTTCTTCTTATTTTTACCCAAGAACTTACTATTCTGTGTTCGCTAGATTACCTAAATGTAACTGAGAATAATTGTTGGTGCAGAGCATACAAAAGATGCTTACTGATGGCATCGATAAATGGGCGCCACAGCTTCCAATCAAAAGGGCTGTGGTTGACTTTTCCTCGCCTAATATAGCTAAAGAAATGCATGTGGGCCACTTAAGGTCAACTATTATTGGGGACACACTAGCTTGTATTCTGGAGTTTTCAAATGTTGAAGTTCTTCGACGAAATCATGTTGGTGACTGGGGGACACAGGTGATGTAGTTTTTGCATTTTTATAGCATATGTAACTAATCCAGATTCCAAAAGAGAAACTATTGGTAAACTGGGACTTTTCAGGTTTCCCTACCATTTAACATGTGGTACTTGCCTTTTACACACATGTTATGTTTACATACATGCATACCATAGGCATTTTTTATTTGTGTTTGTGATTATACCCTTCGTTAGTGTAACCATCACACCCTTCTGACCCTAGGAATACAGCGATAGGCAGATATTATGTCTTCCTAGCTCATTGGTCAATATGCTTGATAGACAAGCACTCCTTTTTTTCATCAGTAAGGTATGGCTCTAATAAGTTCTATGTCTATTGCAGTTTGGTATGTTGATTGAGTTTCTTTTTGAAAAGTTCCCGAACATAGAAGATGTTAATGAAACAGCCATTGGTGATCTGCAGGTGAGTGAAAGTATTCTCCTTACCTTTTAGTCGTTTAAATGCTTGTATTGTATTATTTATCAGGTCCATTCTGTTTTGGTAAACTTCCTTTGGCATGGTGAATCAGAAAATAAAAATGATTGTTAGTGACTTTAATTGAATGGTGTTTTGTTAGGCATTCTATAAAGCATCAAAACAGAGATTCGATGATGATCCTGCTTTTAAGGAGAGAGCACAACGGGCAGTGGTTTCCCTTCAGGTGAGTTATGCATTTTTTTAGTTGCACAAAGAACATGAGGTTTATCTCTCTGTCCACGATGTTAGTAAAAATTTAAAAGTATGTGAGAATGTCTTTTATGTTTCTCTTAATAATTGGTTGTGATTCAACTCAATTTGCAGGGTGGTGAACTGAGGTACCGAAATGCATGGCTGAAGATCTGTGAAATCAGTCGTAAAGAATTTCACAAGGTCTATGAACGCCTTGGAGTTCATTTAGAGGAAAAGGTATGTTCTAACTTTGCAGGATACTCTTATGGCAGGCTATTGATATTCTTGTATCCCTTTGAATAAGACAACAAGTTTACTGAAATTAGACGCAATGTAAAATAATATGAGATGGCCATGTCCATCCTACGCATACAGAAGCTTTTATATTATGCACTTCATCTTATGCACGTAATCTTTTCTTATGAGTGGGACATTAGAAGATAAGTACCATTCCTTTCCACCTAGATTGTGCATTACAGGAAAACCTGGTTTTGTCCAGCAAGTTGGTTGTTTACTTTTGTGCCCTGAATATATTGCAATGTGGTCGAAATGGAACGTGGATACTTTTTGTTTGTAATAACTGTGTATGGTATAGAATATTTGTTGGATTTAATTTTGCATCTTTAGTTGGTGAAAGCAAGCAGTGAAGTTATATGCATTTGTTGTTACTTTTTATTTCTGACAGGGTGAGAGTTTTTATAACCCATATATTCCTGGGGTTTTAAAAGAATTGAGTGATAAAGGGTTAATTGAGGACAGCCAGGGTGCTCGTGTAATCTTTCTGGAAGGGTTTAACATCCCCCTTATTGTCGTCAAGAGCGATGGCGGTTTCAACTATGCTTCAACTGATTTAGCAGCTCTTTGGTATGGTTTTTTTTTTTTTTTTTTTTTTTGATAATTTCCTGGATTTTTGGATTTTATAAGTCAAACCCGTTACTTTATGGTCAGTCAGTTAGCCTTGAGAGTAAGTTGTGATTCTTACTGACGTCTTTCTACTTGTAATGTATTGTATAGGTATCGCCTGAATGAGGAGAAAGCTGATTGGATCATATATGTTACCGATGTTGGCCAGCAGCAGCATTTTAATATGTTTTTCGAGGTACGTTGCTAAAACTGTGACCTGTCTCTGCATACCCTGATTTGGGGTGTTTTGTGCATTTTGTGGTCTATGTTCTTGTTGTAATTAGTTATCTCGTAGCATAAATGTTCTTTCAAGCTCATGCTCTCGCTTCCAAGGCATAGGGTAATACGATGTAGTTATATAATTGAACATAATTTGATGTTTGGTTTCAGGCAGCTAAACGTGCAGGTTGGCTCCCAACTGATGGCGCCTTGAAACCAAAAGTTACTCATGTTGGTTTTGGTCTTGTTCTTGGAGAAGATGGAAAACGCTTTCGCACTCGCTCTAGTGAGGTGGTCCGATTGGTTGATTTGCTTGATGAAGCCAAGGATCGTAGTAAAAAGGTTCTTGTTGAACGTGGTATGATATCCTATACCTATCTTCAAAAGTCTATAAATGTGGTTTAACTTTATATCTTCCTTTTATTCACAGAGATGTATAATATATTCTGAAGGGAATTGTATTTGTCATCTTAGCATAGATTAGTCTTCTGTACCTCCTAACCTCCGAATCTTCTCAATTGGGTAATTATTCTTTAAATCATAATCAGGCTGGACAGAGCAGGAGCTTAATCAAATTGCAGAGGCTGTTGGTTACGGTGCTGTTAAGTAAGCTGCCTAAACTTTGATAAGTTTCTTATGGTTATGTTGTAATTATCTCGTCTTCATAATGGATGGGTTGGGTTAGCCTAGGTAAATTTTACGAGAACATATAAACTGTGACTACTGCCCCAGATTTTCTGCATCCTGAACGTGAATGGATGTATCGATGTAGTATTTCTTGAAGAACCTTAGGAATGGTTAAAAACTCCATGGTATCCAGATTATAAAAACATTTAGAGAGAGTGTATATGAGTAATTGCATACTTAGTCCAGCCTGTAGATTTTCTAGAACGGGACTTGATTTTTATATATTCTTAATTTTTTGACAGGTATGCTGATCTGAAGAACAACAGATTGACCAATTACACGTTTGATTTTGATCAAATGCTAAGTGACAAGGTGCGTCAACTAGTATTTGGCTAAGGCTTTGCATTAATATTGTTTCAAGATTTTGTTGTAGACTCTTGTTTCTGATGTTGTTCTAATTACTTGTCCTATATGTATTAAACTATGTTACTAATGCTTTATGTCCTACTGCTCGGAAACTACTTGAGCAGGGAAACACTGCTGTTTACTTGCTCTACGCTCATGCTCGGATCTGTTCCATCATAAGGAAATCTGGCAAAAACATAGAGGAATTGAAAAAAGTAAGTTCAGCTGCATTTTTCCACATTGTTATCTGCGCTTCTTTATTCCTATGCACCACTGGAAACCGGTGGATGAGGTCTGATGCTATTTTTTTTATTTGAAACAGACGGGGGAAATTGTGTTGGATCATGACGGTGAGCGTGAATTGGGGCTTCATTTGCTACAGTTTTCAGAGGTATGTCCATGCAATAACTGAACTGGTTGTTGCTTTCCTTGTGTCCATAGCTTGAGTCTTCGTTGATTACTGCCGCAATACATGCGGAACTCACAGTTGTATATTTTTCTCTTCACCTTTCAGAACGTGGAGGAGACCTGCACCAATCTATTGCCGAATGTTTTGTGCGAATACCTATACAATTTATCAGAAGTCTTCACCAAAAAATTCTACTCCAATTGCCAGGTACATCCGTCATTGCTTGTCTCATGCTTTACGTAGATGAGTATTAAACTCAACGATGGCTTTTGATCTTCTACTTAATAACCGAACGAAGTAACCAAATCGTTGTTCATCTGCCGATTTTACCTTACCTTACTAGGCGAATGCTAGGAAAACCGCAAATGCCTTAGCGTATACAATGGAATTTGGTGAATATACATGATGTTTTGTTGAATACGATTGCAACAATCTTAATGAATCTTCATTGGTTTCCGAAACTGGGCAGGTTGTCGGGTCTCCTGAGGAAACGAGCAGACTCTTGCTTTGTGAAGCAACAGCCATTGTGATGAGGAAATGTTTTAATCTTCTCGGAATCGAACCGGTTTACAAGATATGATGGTGGACCAATATAGTGTTGTAACCCATCTTAGCAGGGATGTTTGAATGCTTGTTTTCCGTTTGCACTGTAAAATTGTAATCCGACTCTTCTCATACACGTCTCGTCGTTTTCGTGTCTCCCTCATTCGAAGTTTTGCATCAACAGATAGATAAAAGTAGATAAAAATCAATGGCTATGGTTTTGCAAACAGAAGAATCATGTGACTCCCATAATTAACCTAGGAAGTAAGTTTCACGCTTCCATTTTTCTTCTTCTGCATCTCTTGTTACTTCTGTCCTTCGATTTTTATTTGATTTGTTCAGTTTAAAATCGCAAATATAAAGGTGTAAGATGAGAAAGAGAGCGTGAGTATAACTTCTTTTAAACCTACTGGAACACCTCATTCTTTCGGTGAAAGCCTCCATACCAATGTACAATAAATTTGTCACCTAAAAGTTTGTTTGATAACTATTTAGTTTGATTTTATTCGCAAGGTAAAAGCGTAAAATAAATGAGTCAATTTTAACATAAAAAATACTACGCTATTTTGATCAGTAAATTCTCCTCCATTTCTCCCTTTCTCTTTTATCTTTCTTACCGCCCTCCATCCATTCTTCCCCCATTTCTACTTTCTTCAATATGCCTTTACCTCTCTAACACAAAAAACGAATACTTAAAATTATCGCGATGAGAAAGGTGATCGGATTTGAATTATGGTTATAAAATGTGCAGTTTATGCACAGAATTCTATAATTACATATTCAAAACAATAGAGCTCCGTAAATTAATTAAACAAAAACAACTAATTAGCATACAAAAAAAACCCAGATCGAAATCTAAGTCTTTTTTTTTTCTCGGTTACAAGATTAAATCCTAACTCTGCAAGACAAAACCATGCCAAATTTCTAATGTGTTTGCGCATAATTATATTTTTTTTCTTTTTTTATGTACAGGGATGGATAAATTAAAGCTTAAGTAGCTAATTAATTAACCCAATAATTTTCCTCTGTTACTAATGGAATACAAGAAAGACCCTCCTCTCGAAGTTTTCTTTGAAATAATGGATTTTGGAGAAAGATATGGTGATTTGTGACCATCAAAAGCGCCACCAAAGCTCTTGCATGGCTTCATTTTCTTCCTGTAAGGTTCCACCTTTTTTGCCAGATCCTCCAAGCTCGTCGCACTTGCTAGGGTTGTGAACGATTGTGACTTTCCTTCGTAACATTTTGATAAACCTCTCCTGCATACACATAACAAACCCTAATCAGAAACCCTATAATAATAACGGAAACATAAATCATCAACGTAAACAGAAAGAACATTGCCCGGCTCCTTACTTGATAGGAAGATGGATCATTAGGTCAGATAATTCGAAAAGCGGGCCGTTCGACGACGACGACGAGGTAGAAGAAGAAGAAGCAGCATCTTCAACCAAGTCAGATGAAAATGATGATTCCGCGGAGCTCATAGAGTTTTCCATGAAGGGTTCAACAGATCTCGTGTCACAAATATCTTCTTCATGTTCTTCCTTGAAAACCCAGCATTCCTGTTTAACTTGATAAGCATGATTTTCTTCTGTATTTTGATTCCCCAAAACTCTCTTTTCTTCTTCACGACGACCCATTTCTTGAAATCTTAACGTTGAAGATTTTGGAGCATATATGTGTGTGTGTGTTTGTGTGTGTGTATAAATAAGGAGATGGATAACACTGACTGTTCTGTTATATTTTTATATTAATTTTAATTTACCTATATAACGCTTTATCCCGGATTTTGTCGTCATCACATTCTTATGGTCTAAATTTATTTGCTTTCCCATGGTACTAGAAATAGATAAGCTCCATCGCTCCAACCTGGAAGACATCCATATCTGAGTGACTGACTCATCATCTTTAGGGCAACTTTTGCCTCATAAAGTCATGACAGGTTTCCGTATCGTGGTGGTAACTACACAATATTTTTACTATATACATACATTTTGTTATTTTTATAGTTTGATTTTTTTTTTTTAATTCATTCAATTGATGTTCGAAAATTGAAAAATATGTGTAAAAAGTAGAAAATGATGTGAGAATAGCACCACCTTTTATGAATTGTTAATTTTAAATTTGTCTTCAACAATCCGAATAGATGATATAAAATTTTAAATTCGAATAAAAGGGTGAAAACATAAAGAAAAAGTGTTAAAGGTTTTTTTCAAGACAAAGTGAGAATATTTTTTTTTATAGATTTAACAGAACTTTTCGGAAGAATTTAGAGATGATTTTTTATGTGTATTTTAATGGTTGTAGAGTTCAATTGTCACGCTTTCATAACTAAAAATTGCAAGCGTATAAAATTTCATTTATCTTGGACGCAAGTTTTACTTTGGAAAACAAGACTTGGCTGCTGCAAATTCAGCAGCGAAGTATCCTCCTTTGTACTTGACCTTGAAAATTCTGTTTTCTAAAACTTCTCCTCACATGCGTAAGAACAATACTTGTTTTTAAATGATGAGAAATATTCTTATAGTTTTCATCACGTAAATTCACCTGATAAAAATTGTAAGTACAACTGCTTATTATTTAATTGCAAATAAGTGTTATTATTTTTAATTTTTTTATTCATTAAATTCGACAACTGTAAATTTAGAGAAATCTATAAGAAAAAATAATTCAAAGCGTGTCGCACCTCAAACTATATATTGTAAAAACAAGACATGATGTTTTAACCAACTTTATTACACTTTTTTAGTTGTGGGGTTTAGTAAAGGAGTATAGATCTTTTCCGAATTTAAAAAAACATAGCCCAATAATCAAATGATCTGAACCGTTGAAATTTAATTCAACTGCTATAAATAAAGAATCTCTTAAAATTATAATTATTATAATTATTAGATCAAATTTTAACGATCCGGATCATTTAATCATTTTGGGCTTCGTTCTTTTAGATCGGAGAGGATACGTACGCTTAGTAAAGAACGGGAATGAGGATAAGGACCATGGGAGGGTTGACTTAGTACAGCTCACGGTGATTGGATGTGTGTTTTGATGGGCAATCTCCCACCACATGCTTTCTTCTGCTTCTGATTTTGCTGCCATTTCCATGTTTATTATTATTATTTTATTTTATTTTTTTAAGAAATGTTTGTTATTCTTCTTAATCTTATATATCCATGTTAATAGCAAAATATTCATACAAAACAAAAAAAAAATTAAAAAACTTGAAATTTTTTATTTATTTATTTATTTAGTTTGGGTCAGGATCGCCAAATCTGCTGGACTTAAAAAAGAGGCAGATTCTTTGCCCTCCTACTTTCTGTGCCCTCATGTTATGTGTGGTTACGGTTAAGTCACGTCAACATTTTATATTATTTTTTTATAACGATAATAAAATAAAAATGAATAGTAATATAAAATATTGACGTGATTTAACCGTGACTACACAAACAGGAAGACATAAGAAGTGGAAGGGCAGAGAATCTGCCTCCCATAAAAAAACCCCTATATAATATAATTTAATGGTTTTGTTTTTTTAACAAAAAGCCCACAGAAAACCCCAGCTTGATGGCCTTTACCGACCTCTCCCTATCCCTATCTCCATCCCCACCACCCCCCGTTGTCTCACTCATTCCATCTTTTCTTCTGTAACCTCATCCACACCACATTCTTCGGATTTTTTTCTATTTATAGAAAGGATATTTATTATTTAAATATGGAAAATAGATACCAATAGGCAATAGGATTGTTGTGAGATCATCTTGTTATATGGTGGAGATATGGAGCCTTGTCTCCTTTTGTTCATCAGTCCACCTACTTATCATTAGGGTTTTTAAGTTATTTGGCAAGATCGTATTGGATATAGGAGAAGATTTTTAATACAACAGTTTGTCTGAGTACGTAATTCATGAGATCACTCTCACAAGCGTTCAATAGGTGAGACCATGAAACCCAATTGCAATGATTCCTAATTTTTTTGGAAAAGTTGTCTTACGAATAACGTTGTCAGCTTTTCATGTTGAAGATTCTTTTGATAGGCCTCACAAGAAAATGAATTTTAAACAATGGCGAGCAAAGTATCTGCCAAACGAACATTACGCCCCTCAATTTTTAAGAACAAATACTTCGAATGAAAAGCTGTAGTTACTACAAGAGAATTCATGTAATGGTTTGATCAAAACTGAACACTGATACATATGGGGAAAACATTGTTACATTGCAGCGACGAACTATCTTGGAAAATTTACAGGAGGTTCTAAGCTGCCAACCAGAATCCCGAGATCAATGTCTTTGTTTTCGAATTTCTTGATGAAGGGGTGACCCTGAAAGGGTAAACATGAATTCGTTATCAAGTTGATGACTGAAACAAAATCCAGAGCGTTCAAAACCGAAAAAGAAAATCACCGGATTACTAACCAAAAGGTCCAAAGATGATGATCTGCGTTGAGGGTCCTTCTGTATGCTGCAGATCGAATAAGAAAATATAGAGAGTCAGCATTGCAGTGCGTTTGATATGAAAAGGTGAACAATGCATGTAAATATCTGATTACCAGGAAGACACGAAAGAACAGAACTCGGGGGAGAACTGATCCGGAGGAGCTGAAGGTGGTGGACTTTCCACAATTGCCTCCAAAAGCTCATAAAAGCTTGGCCAGCTTTGTTGATCTTCAGATTGCATGTAAGGAAACCTACCGATGGCACACTCGAGTACCACCAAGCCTAAACTCCAAATATCACTGCTATAGTCATAAGTACTCCCGCTAATCCTCTCCGGCTGAAAGACAAATGTATCATAGTTTCATGAGCCTTGTTTGATGTTTTCGGGTAATTACATGTGAAAAAAGATGGGAAAAAGATCATTACTTACCGACATGTAATTGTAAGTACCAACGAATGTGTCTCTTTGACCCATAGAGCTAGCTAGCGAAGCACTCACGCCAAAATCGGTGATCTTCACCTGCCCTTGATGGTTTACTAGCAGATTGGATGGTTTTATGTCTCTATGTATCACATGTCTTTCATTATGCAAGTACACTAGACCTTGTAAAACCTGATGCACAAGTAAAGATCTTTAGCTAAGGGTAAAACAGACTTCTGCAAGTTGTTGCAAGTGAGTTAAGACTTCAATTTCATTAAAAAGTAAAAACATACGCTCGTATACCTGTTTACAAACGACTGCAAGATATGGTTCAAGAATTGTGTTAACTTGTCTGATCACATCTGCAAGAGACCCCCGGTCCATATATTCTAACACAAGAGAAATGGCCCCGTTGTGATAGAATGAGTGGTGACAAACCACCACATGTGGACATTGTGCTGCTTGGTTTATTTTTAGCTCCTGCACAATCTGTTTACGAATTTCCTCTTGTATGTTCATCTGAATCACCTGGAGAACAGAACAAAAAAGAAATCCTAGTAAAACAGAACGAACTAAGAGCCGCAATGTCCTAATTGCATCAGATACTCATCACAGCGACTTTTTACTCAGAAAGAGGTGGATATAACTGGACAGTATTAGGGCTAGACCCGAAATAGTCAATGAGGATCACAGTTCTAACAAGCAATAACTAAGAGGTGGATATAACTGGACGGTATGCTACAGAAGAATCTCATGCTCTTCTTTCTGGGAAGGTAGGATTAGGAAAATCCTATTGGTTGCAATCCCCCCATGTCTTCGCTAAACGATTTTCATAACCACCATCAGATTTTTTTGTTTATTTAAAAGAATTACCAAAATAAGTATATGAACTATAAAGTGCCTCTTTTCCCTCCTTTCATCACTACATTGTTCTGGTATGCATAACACGTCAACTCTTTTAATATCCATTCCGCTTGAATCCTTAACTAAATCAAACCTTAGGTTACAAAGCAACGTTAAAAAGTCCTATTACAATTGTAATTTGCACATAAGCCCTATGGTTCAAGAAGAAAACTTCATCTCATACCTCGCTTGAGACGACACTAAATCAATTATCATCACATAAGAAACAGAGAAAATACGACATAACACGATAAAGGCAAGTACACAAAAAATAAGAGAGCAGTTGTCATTGCTAGCGCACTGACCTTCAAGGCAAATAGTTTTCCGACCCATTTATGACGAACAAGTTGTACTACACCACCACTTCCCTTCCCGATCACTTTGATAGTCTCAAGATCTTCCAATGTAATTTCAAAGTTGAGCTCCTTACTGTCAGAAGTTTGATCCTATATACCAAATAGGCAATTGTAATATTGAGTCTATAGACCATATAGTAAACAGGAAAATATATCTATTAAAAAGACATTCACAAGGACATTTCTGTGCGGATAATAGAAAATATACTCATCAAAAGACAAGAACACCGAGCATGTGTTCATGGAAGGATGCAAAAACAGACACAAACACAAGCAGTAAACCCTTCTAACTTAAGATCAGAAGTCAATCCCCAGAGGTTTAAATCATAAGCATAGGATTTAAGCACTTCAATGGAGTTTGATACACATTTGAGACACGTTTTAAACGAAATCAAAATCTTCATCCAAGAATACTAAAGGTCAAATGATGATGTTGAAATAACTCGGAATTCAAAAGCAACTCTTTTCATGGTCTGTGTAGAAGTTTACTGGTCATGCTTCTGCAGTGGGAAGCTTAACCAAATTGAGCCTAAATGTCAGGGTGGAAACCATTACGGTCTCCAAATTCCATCACTCCTAACTACCTCATTTGGGATGAGAAACATATTAAATTATCATTTGCAACTTACAACTGAACACTTCAAGATCAATGTAAGATCAGAAATAAATAATAAAAAGATGGAAACCTTAAATTATACTTACTGGGGTCTCCTTTTCTTCAGAGATAAGCCGCAATCCTTTCTGGTTCAGACGCAGATCGCCGTCATGAAATGTGCCACTGGCAGTCCTGAAATTCAAGAAAAGAAAGCATGTCAAAGCTGGAATTTTCATAACAAACCTAAATACAAAGGGGGATTTTCCTTCAAAGGAGGACATGTTAAGGAAACTAATTAATAGCAATCATAAATCCCAAAGTATGAAATTTCCATATAAATCCAGAAACCCAAATTATAGACATTCCCAGCTGGTAGTGAACGATCTAAATTTTGTAGTGCAAAAGAAAAATCCAAAATTTCTTTTCTTTCTTGAAAAGCAACTTTCTTTGCAATTCCCTCCATTCTCTCGGAACCCAAATGAAAAACCTAATCAAGAATTGAAATTTGGGACAGAGAAAAATGAAAGATGCAATCTTTACATTCAGTAGAGATAGAGAGAGGGAGTTACTCACAGAAAGGACTTGATGTTGGCTTCTTGAGCAGGGACATTGAGCTTGAGCTGCTTCAAGTTCAAATTCAATGGCGTCTTCGTCTTCATCTTTCGTCCTGCTGGATTTTGAACTGGTCGCTGGGGTTTCAAATCAGACAGAGAGAGAGAGAGAGAGAGAGAGAGAGAGAGGGGCAGAGACTGAGTTTTTCAATTTTATGGAGGATGGATGGGCTTGATTGACTGAAAGTAGTAGACAGATTCAAACGAGCAGACCGCGAAAATTATATATAAAATATTTGTTTTTTTCCTTTCCGTTGGAAATAGTCTTGGATATGGAAATTTTATTATAATGTTGGGATGGTATTAGCTTGAAAACAAAAACCATATTACGGTTAGTCGTTCACGTGTTATGTACGAATGAGTTTTATTTCAAACGTCATCTTAATCATGCCTTTATTATACGTTTAATGGTTCACGTTTTATGTATGAGTCTTGCTAAATTCTCTTAGAGTTATATTAAGGTCAATCGTTCACGTGTTATGTATAAGTGAGTCTTATTTTAAACATAATCTAATTATGCCTTAATTACATGGTTAATTGTTCACGTTCTATGTACAGTCTTACTAAATTCTCTCAATCCAAGAAAAACAAAAGTGCTTTGTAATAATCAACAAGGTACAATTACAATTTAACTTATAAGATATTATAATATCATGTTATAGTCAGTTGTTCACGTACATTATTGGCGATAATTTTTGCAGCATGCTCATCTTGCTTAACGAACAATAATAGTAATACCTTAATGAGTGAGTTTGTTGACCGAACTTAACTAACCAATTCAGTAAAAACAAATACAAACTACAAGTATAACTGATAAAAGATCATTTCTACATTTTTTTCTACACGTGTTTGACTTGAATATTTGTTACACGTGAGAGAGAACATTTGGGAATCTGAAGGTAAAAGAATCATACATTGTGAAAAGAGAAACACTGTAAGGGCTTAGGTTGGGCTACTCTCTATATTATCAATTGATTTTAGGGAACTTTAACGAAAAGCATCCGGTACTGTTCACTTTAACGAAAACCACATTTTTACACTAAAAAGTCAATCATGGTACTATTCACTTTACTCTTTATTTTGTCCTTATCATTAAAACTCAAAGTTTTCAAGCCCTTTTAAATGTACAATTTAACGAATCAATAACATTTGTACAAAAAACTTATGTTTTTTTTTGTATAAAAAAAGATGTAAAAAAAAGATGTACGTACATATATAATATGCATATTAGACACTAATTTACTAACTATAATTTTTAGTAGGGTGGCCTTCTGTTTGAAAGAACGTAACTATATTTGAAGAAGTTATGATGTCAAATACTATTTTACATTCGCAACTTCAGTTTATATATAAAGAGAAATACCTAATTAATTGAATCAAACAATCGACGGCAGATTTTGATGTGTAAAAAAACATATATCATTGTGGATCGATCCACTCAAAGGGATGGACACGATGATTCCATTCATATGGTATCCAGAGTACACAAGAAAAGAAACTATCGAGAAAACTCGTAGACGAAACAACGAAGCTTGAAGATAGCGATGAAATTATACAGTTTCTTGCTCCCTCTTTTCTCCTTCGATTCAAAAACTAAAAATAAAAAGACATGTAACACAATCATCAATTCTTCGTTATGATATTTTGTCTTCCGTAGCTTTAAACTCAACTCTTGTTTTTCACTCTCGGATTAACCATATGAATATAGACTATCATTTTGTTCAAGAAATGGTTCAAAAGGCTGATTGTTGGTACATTATATTCCCACCGATGATGAGGATGCAGATGTATTAAGAAAGGGCTTGCAGAGTCTTGTTTTTGTTCGTCGTTGCACGATGATGAGGGTGATTTGTTGGTACTATATAAACTCAATTGTTATGAGAATTGCAGATTCAGTTTTCAGTTCTACCAGAATGGGAAGAAAAAGACTCAAGTCCTTATACAAAGACAAAACAGATCCTTTCAAAGTCACAAAAAGAAGAGCTCGAACTGGTTACATTCCAGCCTTCCATCGGAGGATAAATTAGAGTATACAACGAACTAACTTAATATAAAACTTTATTAAACAAAGAAATATGGAATTGTCAAGAATGCTATATGAACCGAAGATGCTACATCTTTGACTTCAGTAATTCGGATGGAAGAGGCCTAAACCCAAACAATACACCTGAATCTAATTATTATTATTTTCCAACACGAGATTCATCTCCTCTCAAGATTCTGTGACACTGTTGTGAAGCTTAAGGGGGATGATGCTATCTTCATAACTAGCAATCAACTTCATTGGTCCTTCTGGATAGTCATAGACAGAAGGCATCCCTGTAGGAAAAGTAAAATCAAGTGTCCTCTCATGTTTGCTCTTCATATTATAAAGATAATATTCAGGTGGGGAGTCATCATATCCCGGTGAAAATCCAAACACAGTGACCTCAAGCAGTAGGTCATCACCTGCGCCAATTGTACCGAAACAATCAAGTTTCCACCTATCATGGTATCGTCTCACTGTCGACAGTACGGGAATAGTTTCCTTAACCCACACATGGTTTTGGTAGTCCTTCAAAATCCATAACGGGTTTTGTTTCTGCGAGTTGTCAACAAACACTCCCACACATCCTCCCACTTCAACTATAGGAAGATCCGGACTATAATCATTCCATTCCCATTCTCTAGTATAATCATACTCCTGAGGAAGCGGAATAACTCTGAATGCCTCGTCGCCGAGGTCAAATACTAATATACTTTGACTCTGCTCGTGTAGCCAGTGGATAGCCCCATGAAGACACACACTTCTCCTGTCACTTCTCATGTCAAAGGGGGGATGTTGGAGATCAAAAGGAAGATCGCCAACGTCTACTTGTAATGGCCTCCATGAATAATCCATACCAAGTGTAAAAATATTCAACGTAATAATAGTATCCTCTTTTTCATCAAAACCCAATAAGATTTGGAGAACCTTATACTCGTTTGTAAATGGACTGAACCCAATGTAATATGTCGGGCATATCTTGCGGTCGATTTTTTCATGGGGCAGTTGGATAGACTCTCCAGTGGAAGGATTAGATATGGTAACAGGGCCATCACCATCGGATCCAATAACCAGTAAGCCATCCAAACTTCTTACCCCGGAGTAATAATATTTCGGTTCAATATCAATGGTGGAAAGGCGGGTGGCGGGTGTTAGATTCCCTTCTTGGTTTAGTTGGGAGGAGAAGAAACGATCCCCCTTCCGTAAAAGGAGGTTAGTAGTACCCTTGCTGCACTGAAAGTTGCGGTAAGCAGTGACAAAGGAATGGTGGCGGATGAGAGAGGACCATGACTTGCATACGCTGCTGCACTGCTTTATTAAGAACTTGGGAGGTAGCCTTGGGAGTATATGCGTGAATATGATCTCACTTGGGAGCTCTGGTGTTGGATGATCATCAACTTCTATGTCCGTAACTCTATATTTTTCTTCCTGTATTAAGCATTGTTGAGATACATAAAAAAGCTCTATATACATATATATGTATGTATATATGGGTAAAGTGCGATTGACTCTCTAAATTATTACTCCAGTTAAAATGATCCTGAATTATTTTTTTAATAAATTAACTCTTTGAACTATTTAAAATCAGCCAATTAACCACTTCCGTTTAGATTCCATCCACTATTCTGTCAAAATCAAGGGTAAATTAGTCTTTTCATCATCAATTTTTACTTGTCAGTTATAATCACCAATAAAATAATGACACGTGGATACACAATAATTTAAAAACTTATAGCATAATAAAAAACATAAAGAAACGAAACGTTTACATAGCAGACCATTTCACATTGTCATTACACATTATTATGTGTTTACCTACATGTCATAATTTTATTGGCGATTATAAGTGACATATAAAAATTGATGATAATAAAAAACTACTTGCCCTTGAATTTCATATTGTCCACTATTCTGTCAAATTCAAGGGCAAGTAGTTTTTTTATTATCATCAATTTTTATATATAACTTATAATTACCAATAAAATTATGACATGTAGGTAGACACATAATAATGTGTAATGACAATGTGAAATGGTTCGCTGTGTAAACGTCTCGTTTCTTTATGTTTTTTATTATGCTATAAGTTTTTAAATTATTCTGTATACACATGTCATTATTTTATTGGTGATTATAACTGACAAGTAAGAATTGATGATAAAAACATTAATTTACCCTTGAATTTGACAAAATAGTGGACAAAATCTAACAACAAAGGTTAATTGCCTTATCTATATATATAAAGTGAGCACCCTAAAATGATGAAACATTCAAAATACCATAAATTGCCCTTTAAGAATTTCATAAATTACAATTGAACCAAAAGAAGCTAAAGTATTTAACCATATTTTTATTTTGAATGAATTTAATATTTAAAATTATAGAAAAAAAAAACAAAACCTCTCACGTTAGTGAGTGGTTTTACGTCTTTAATTCATTTCTTTTTTAAATAATTTTTTTTAAATATGTAAGTTAATTATCTATATATATAAAGTGAACACCCTAAAATGGTGAAACATTCAAAATACCATAAATTGCCCTTTAAGAATTTCATAAATTACAATTGAACCAAAATAAGCTAAAGTATTTAACCATATTTTTATTTTGAATGAATTTAATATTTAAAATTATAGAAAAAAAAAAACAAAACCTCTCACGTTAGTGAGTGGTTTTACGTCTTTAATTCATTTCTTTTTTAAATAATTTTTTTTAAAATATGTAAATTAATTATTTAAATAAAAAATACAAAAAGGTCAATTGCTACACGCCATGTGGCAAGATGTTAGTTTCAAATAGTTCATGGGGTTAATATACCAAAAAATATTTTAGATGTCAATTTCAACTGGAGTAAGAGTTAAGGATCAAACGACAAGAGATCATTAGGATTAGTTACGAGACCCATTCCACAATGAACTTTAAGGATTTAAATCATCTATTTTGTAAGCTTCTATTTATAGGTCATCCTCACAATAATTTAATTCAATTCAAAACTATTTGCCTATTTAATTATTACAACGAAATTTCTTTGTTCCTGAACAAATAATCATGCTTCAAAAGTTTAACCGCACAAAAGAAATTAAAGAGCAAATTAGACGGATGAATTTAGTTGTCAAGAATTGATCAATAAGAAACCAAAAACTTTGAAGAAAAATATATGCAATCAGTCATAAGAAGAAAAGCTAAGGTCTGGACTCTCGATCTAGAGAGAGAGAAAAGCTTAGAAAACGCACGGCAATTATATTATATTTTAGACTTACCAATTCACTGCTCTGAAATTTTCTGACCGGCATCAATAAATATCTAGGACCGACCGATTCCCGGCTCGACCCATCAAGAAACTTCAAAAGTCTCGACGGTCTCGACCCATCGAGAAACTTAAAAATTTTCTGAAATTTTCTGAAAGGCCTCCAGCCTCGACGGTCTCGACCCATCTAGAAACTTCAAAAGGCAGATCGCAGTAGCTAGTGGCAAAGGGGAAATCAATAGTGTATATGTTCTGATGCGTTTGCTAGGGTTTCCCTGGTATTGCAATATTAATAGTAAAACAGAAGCAATGGGCCTACCCATCGGTTTCATTTGGAGAATTGGGGTTCTTAAATTATGTCTATTCATTGTATATTGTGTGGTTAAAAATTATTTTAAATATTTTTATTTTAAACTAAATATGTATAGTACTTGACGAAAAATGACCGTCAAATATACGATAAACGGACAAAATTTGAGGATTCTTAGGATCCACATAAAAATGATGGTCATTTGGATCTTTATGTTTCAAATTCATCAATTTCCGTCCCTCGTCTATTACTTTGGTCATCAATGTTATCCTCACCGTCCGGCTTTGTTACAAAATTTTTAGTACGTGATGTGGTACCTAAGCAATCAAATTAATCTAACAACCATACAAATAGAGTTGAAAATCGGGTCTTAAGTGCCCATTTATATGTACATGAGAGTTTTGAGTAATATTTTTTTTTTCTTCAAACTATAAATTTTGTTCAATTAGTCATCAACATAGTTTGAGTCTATGCTGTCATACACGAGTTCAACACCTTTCACTATTATGGTAAAGGACCACTTACGAGTTTTGAGTAATATTTGAGTGGGATATTGTAGTCTTAAAAAATAATAATAATAATAACGTAATATAATGTTTCTTTTAAGAGAAAAAGAATATATATATCACGATAAAAAACAATAAAAATGAAAGGATGTTTTTTTTTCTTGTTGGTATGTCATTATAATATCTAGGAAAAGATGGGATGCAGATTTTCTCCGGACCAGTCCCATGGGGATCTCCGGACGGGTTAATATCATCTATTGATACAAATGAGACTCTCTTTCTGCTCCTATCTCCCCCTTCCTTTCTTTTCCCCTCAACTCTTCTCTTTCTCACTTTGAATCACCCACCGCCACCTTTGTCTTCTTTAATTTTCTTCTTCCCTGGGCACGGCTCTGCAGCTCATCTTCGCTAGGCACAGCTCTGAGCTCAAAAAATTTCATATTTCTACAACTTAGAAAGTAAAAAAAGGACGCTAGTCGGAAACAGGGAAGGTACTAAATATACTCAATTGTAATCAGAATTGCAGATTCGGTTTTCATTTCTCTCTATTTTCATGTTTGAGAAGTTGAATATCAGGGTATGCAATGAATTAACCGAATATAAAACTTTATTAACAATAAAATACAAACTGTCAAGAATGCTATATGAACAAGGCTATATCTTGATTGTGTTATTTTTCATACTAAACTACGAGCTTTATTTATAAAGAGCAAAATCTAACAAACCCTAATATTAAGATCCAAACAATACAATAAATCTAATTATTATTATTTTCCAACACTGAGATTCATCTTCTCTCTAGATTCTGTACAACTGTTATGAAGTTTAAGGGGGATGATGCTATCTTCATAGCTGGTAATTAACTCCATTGATTCTTCTCGATTATCATAGACAGAAGGCATCCCTGTAGGAAAAGTAAAATCAAGTGTCCTCTCATGTTTGCTCTTCATATTATAAAGATAATATTGAGGTGGGTGGTCATCATATCCTGGTGAAAATCCAAACAAAGTGACCTCAATCAGTAGCTCATCACCTTTGCCAATTGTACCAAAACAATCAACTCTCCACCTTCGTTTCCTATCATGGTATTGTCTCACTATCGACAGTAAGGGAATAGTCTCCCTAACCCACACATGGTTTTGGCAGTCCTTCAAAATCCATAATGCTATATTTTGCTTCCGCGAGTTGTCAACAAAAACCCCCACACATCCTCCCACTTCAACTATATATGTGTAAAAGTATAGGGAAGATCCGAACTATAATCATCCCATTCTTGTTGAGAATATCGCATTTAAGAATGAGAAAAACAAGAACAAAGTTTGGAAATCGAAAAACAAATAATCACGATAAATAACACCGAGAATTTACGTTGTTTTTTCAATATATGCCTACGTCTACGGGATAGCAACAATAATCTTTCACTATATTAATAATGAATACAACTAATAATCTTATCAAATCTCTAGAATTAAGAACTTAATGATAAACCCGAAAGAACAAGAAATACTCTTTTTATCTCTTTTCTTTGTTATGGATGCGTTTGCTAGGGTTTCCCTGGTATTACTGTATTAATAGTAAAACAGAAGAAGCAATGGGCCTACCCATCGGTTTCATTTGGGCTTTTATAGTTAGAGCAGCTCCAGCCCACCTCTTTTTGTCGGGCAATTGGGCAATTTTTGCACCCCCCCCCCAAAAAAAAGCAGCTTCAGCCAATTGAAAAAAGGGCCCAAGCCTGATGAATGAAGCACTCATGCAATTTGCGCCCAATCTAACGCTTGAGTGTGATCTAACGTCACGCTGACATTAGCATAACGTCGGTTATAAGCAAAAAAAACTTTTGCATCAAGCACGTGCAATGCACGTGCGTGATGCCACGTCAAGAGACAGAGAAGCCTCGTGGGGCTCACGCTGCAAGTTATCGAACACGTGGCAAAATCTAGACCATTGAATTAAAAGTGATTGTTGTGCCCACGTGACACGATCTGTTACATTGAATTGAATAATTAACATTTATACTAATTCAGTTAGTTAAAATTAAAAAATACAGAAAAAATTTAAATGTAATTTTTAGATGTTGACACGTGACTTAACGAGATTAGTTAAAATTTTGGTTAGAAGATAAAATATAAATAGAAAAATGGGAAATAATTAAATATATCCTACCTAACCACTATTCTGAAAAAAAATTTGTAATTTCGAATAATGATACGTGTCGTGATAGAATTGATTTTAAATCCTATTCAAAATTAAACATAATATCATATTTTAATTTTAAAATTAATTTTTAACGTTAATTGCTCGAGCAATTCATTACAGAGTAAAAATACACTCGAACAATTCCTACTCATTAAGACAATAATTGTGCATTTGCCCAATTGCCCAATTGCCCAGACAATTATTACCCTATGCGGTGAAAGTGCTCTTAAAAGCTTAAAGGGGCTGTCCCAACTCCCAAGACTTGTCATACATTCATTCCCAGTATTTTGAGGAAAATACTCAGGTTATTGAAAAAAACCAACACAAACCTTGCATAAGTTTAAAAGAAATTTAGCCACTCTTTTATAGCCAATTGATTTAAGGTAATATTTGAATTTTCTACTATGATATAGAGCGAACAAGTTTGTTTACACGTGATTCACGTAACTCAATTAAAGTTGTACGTGTGTTAAACTTAAAAATCTAATATACATGATGATGTGTGAGAGAAGAGTTGAGAAACATATAATTTAAAGGTGAAACCTCAACTTTTCGAAGTTATTCCTATTACTATATGCAAAGACGGATGACTTTTTTTATTAACAGCTAGTTGGTGTAGGTTGAAAATCTAACTCTCCTCCCTTCTCCTTCCTTCTAGTCCTCTCATTTTTTTTCTCTTTCTCTCGTTATAAATAAGTCAACATAAAATGTTGACAGACTTAATCGTAAGTGTTGAAATAAGTAAAGACTGAAAATGAGAAGAAAAAAAATGAGAGAGGAGAGAATCCGAATCGAGACAGGTAACTTGTTGCATAGGCAGTTCAAGATTTTACCTAGCAGACCAAAATCCAAAAGCAATAGACAAAGAGATGTTTTACCTGCAAATATTCACTTTAATATTCTAATATTCTAAAGATTTAATCGAAGCAAGCAGAAAATCAACAGTAGCAGCTAACAGTGGGAAACAGAAGCAAACGGACCCGATGCCTTTGAATTAACTAGATTTTATAATCCACTGCCAAGTCCGGTCCTTCCGCTGACACAAGCACTAATAACCCTGAAAAGCTTTTTCCCACCCTACTAATAACTATACATACGTACATCCAAAAGTGCTTATTAGCTTAAGTGCTTTCACGATCGAGCTCTGACTCTGACCAGAGCAAAAAGGACTAAGGACAAAGGAGCAGTTGCTATTCACAAGAAGGAAGGAGAAGAACTTTGAAGAAATTGGTTGGAGCTCGGAGAGAAAGGAGAAAAGCAGAAGCAGAAGCTGTTTAAGAGAAGAAGGAAAGAGAGCAAATGGGAAGTGGGTTCTTCCGGCTTATCATTGCCACTTCACTGCTGCTTACACTCTTGGGTTTGTTTTTCTTTCTGGGTTCTTCTTATCTATCTCTGTCGTTTTTGCTTTCTTTCTCTTTTCATGGGCAATGTTGATGATGGTATTTGAAGTGCTTTCAACTGGGATTTCTTTGTTCAAGAAGTGATTTTTCTTATTGGGCTTATTAGTTATTAGGATCTTTGTTTTCACCAAGTGCTTTTAGAGAAATTCACACACATTATGCACACAAAAAAAGGAAAATGTCGAATGTCGGTGCGTTTTCTTGCAAGTTACCACTTTTGCTGCATTATTGCTCATTTTCACCTTTTTTTTCAATATAGTGTGTGAAATTCTAAGAATTTAGGAGGTTAAAGTATTCAAGTTTCCATATTTTTTTAAAGAAGAAGAGTCCCTTTGTCTTCGTTTCTTAGATTAGATTAAAATATCGCTCAAATTATGATAAAAATTTTTATTTAAATTTTATTTTGGTCAGCTAGGTATATTAAGTTAAGGAGAGATGCTTAGGAGACCCTCAAAAAGTGAGACTTTCTATAGATTCTCAGTTTTTGACACAATGTTTTATAATGTTAACACGAGAAGACACGTTAAACTGTGAGGTGTCATGAGAGTCCCACTTTAAAAGGGTCTAGCATTTCTCTTAGTTAAGTATTTTTCAATGTCATCTAATATACTTGTTTGGAAGTTGGAACCTTATTTATATAGATCTTAAAGGGGCAATGCCAAATTAATGAGTTTCATTTTTAAGGTCCTCTACTATCTCTGCATCTTTAACCTTTTTTTCCCTTGTGGGTGGGATTTTGGGATTTCCATTTGGACAGAGAATGCAATAATTGAGCTTTTGGGGACCCTATCTTGTCTTGGCCATATACAATATGATATGAAAGCAACAAGTATAATACGCTATGGTCAAGTGGAAAGTATTCAAATT